CGAGCCTGCGAATTGGCAGCAGGGAAAAATCTTACACTTTATACTGATTCCAAATATGTTTTCCACATTCCTTTATCTCATGCAGCAATTTGGAAGGAGAGAGGTCTCCTGAACTCAAAGGGCACTTCTATAACCAACTCCACATACAACCCCCAGCTACTACAAGCCTCCCAGCTTCCTAAAAAACGTGGAGTTGCCCATTGCAGATCTCACCAAAATGACTCCTCCCCCGTCACACAGGGGAATTCAAAAGCAGATCAGGCAGCCAGGTCAGCCGCCCTTTCAGACCCCACCGCATCTCTCATTGCCATGTGCTCTCCATCATTACCCAATAATGGAGACCCACCTAAACATGCCCTCTTTACTCACCTCCACTCCATTTTCCACTCCAGTCCGAAGACTCTCAAAGCCTTTCTCCACTCTTTCTTTACTCTGACTCCCCGGGATAAAGAAGTGATACAGCAAACTACAGCCTCGTGTCAGATATGCAAAAGAGTGAATTCCAATACGTCTTTAAAGCCCGGAACCTTCCCTTCTCATCAGGCTAGGGGCCATATTCCTGGGGCAGATTGGCAAATCGACTTCACCAACATGCCCAGAGTAAAAAACCTCAAATGCATACTAGTTTTAATAGACGCATTCTCGGGTTGGGTAGAGGCCTTCCCCACCTCAAATAAGCGGGCTACTACAGGATCCTGGCTTTGTCCCCAGGTCCAGGTGGATGATTGCTGTGTCCACTGAAGACCCAATGCTGGGCACTCTGCCCTTGTCCCAGCTCTGCAGGAGAGGGAGCTGCACAGCCCGCCTGCTGGGGCTTTCCCAGAGCCTGGCTGACCTGGACAGGATGGGCCAGCTCCTGCCCCCTGCAGCCCTCGGGTCTCCCTTATGTGGGACAGAAACCCTGAGAAGCACTGTGAAGCTCCCTGTCCAGGCACCTGCTCACGGAGAGACAGAGCTGACTGTGCACTGCTGGACACGTGCCCAGCCGCACACCTTAGCTTTCCTGAAAAGCCCATGTACAGGAACTGCCACCCCAGGGGATGATGCCCAGGGACTGGGCCAGAGGAGATGGCTCCAGGTGCACCCTGGGGGCTGCAGGAGGAACCCAGGGCCACCAGCTTGTCTTCTGCAACAGCAGGACAG